TCTCTCAAAATAAATACATAAGCTTGGAAAAAAAAATTTTAAGATCTATCCATGTTACTGTATGTATATCTGGTTCATTGGATGACATAATACTCTGAAACATTCATTTATAACATTTTACTTAGGGGCGCCTGGGTGGCTTAGTTGGTTAAGCGTCCGACTTTCGCTTAGGTCATGATCTCGAAGCTTGTGGGTTCGAGCCCCGCGTCGGGCTCTGTGCTGACTGCCAGCTCAGAGCCTGGAGCCTGTTTCAGAGTCTGTGACTCCCTCTCTCTCTGACCCTCCCCTGCTCACGCTGTCTCTCTCTCTCCTAGAAATAAATAAAACATTAAAAAATAAAATAAAATATAACATTTTACTTAGCCGTTCCCCAGGGAATGGATACCAAATTTGGCTCCAGGGAGTGTTCAAACAACACTGTGTTGAACTCCCTCATGCATGCCCCCTCATGGACCTGTATGATTACTTTGCTGAGGTCTGGAGGCAGAAATGGTATCACGAGGTCCAATGGGATAGGCACACCCACCGTCACTAAGTAATGCTAAAAAGGCTTTTCCAATTTACATTTGTACAAGAATTACACAAGAGTTTCTGTTTTCCCACATCGTTGCCAACGCTTGGCATTATTCACTTTTCAAATTTTGCCATTTTGGTAGGTGTTAACTGTTACGTCATTTAAGCGTGCATTATGTCATTTAAGCGTGCATTTCTTGGATCACGAGTGAGTTTGAGTCATACTGGTAGTGTTTTATGCTTCCTTTTTAGTGAACTGACTGTTCACATCTTTGCCCATTTTTTATCAGGTCTTGCTGATTTGCAGGAGTTTCTCGTATATTGTAAATATCAACACCTTGAGGTTTTAGGGATTGCAAACATCATTCAATCCACCTCTTTTTTTTTTTTTTTTTTGGTTGTTGTTTAGTTTTAAAGAGAGAGTGAGTGTGAGGGGGGGAGAGATGCAGAGGGAGTGAGAGAGAGAATCTTAAGCAGGATTCATGCTCAGTGTAGAGCCTGACATGGGGCTTGATCCCATGAACTGTGAGATCATGACCTGAGCCAAAACCAAGAGTCTGACACACTCAACTGACTGAACCACCCAGGTGTCCCTCATTAATGTTTGATGTCACCTTTATTACATATTAGTTCTTAGGTGTGTATGATTTGGTTTCTGAGCTCTGTATCATCCTCCACTGGTCCAGTTGTCTATCTGTCCATTTATTCTACTTCTATTACTATGGCTTATTATCCACGAGAGCAAGTCTCCCCTCTTCTCACTTCTTCAGAATTGACTTGGCCAAATTCACATATCCTTTGATCTAGGAATTCCACTTTTTCAAATTTATCCTACACATACACTTGAATGAAGCAAAATGATGTACATACCAGTTTAGTCACTGTGGCATTGTTTGTAGCAGCCCCAAATTAGGAACAACCAAACTTCCAAAGAGAGGGGACTGGCTCTGGAAAACAGTGTGGAGGTTCCTCAAAAAATTAAAAATAGAGGTACCCAATGACTCAGCAATAGCCCTGCTAGGATTTACCCAAGGGATATAGGAGTGCTGATGCATAGGGGCACATGTACCCCAATGTTCATAGCAGCACTCTCAACAATAGCCAAATTATAGAAAGAGCCTAAACGTCCATGAAATGATGAATGGATAAAGAAGATGTGGTTTATATATACAATGGAATACTACTTGGCAATGAGAAAGAATGAAATCCTGCCATTTGCAGCAACACGGATGGAATTGGAGGGTATTATGCTAAGTGAAATAAGTCAGGGAGAGAAAGACATATTATATGTTTTCATTCATGTGTGGATCTTGAGAAACTTAGCAGAAGACCATGGGGGAGGGGGAAGGGAAAAATAGTTACAGAGAGGGAGGGAGGCAAACCATGAGACTCTTAAATACAGAGAACAAACTGAGGGTGGATGGAGGGTGGGGGAGAGGGGGAAATGGGTGATGGGTACTGAGGAGGGTACTTGTTGGGATGAACACTGTGTGTTGTATGTAAGCCAACTTGACAATAAATTATATTTAAAATTTTTTAATAAATAAAGAAAAGAAAAAAAGGGGACTGGTTTAAATAAGGCACATTTATTTTTTTTTAATGTTTAATGTTTATTCAATTTTGAGAGGCAGAGAGACAGAGCACAAGCAGGAGAGGGGCAGAGGGGGAGAGACAGAATCCGAAGCAGGCTTCAGACTCTGAGCTGTCAGCACAGAGCCTGATGTGGGGCTCCAACCCACGGACTATGAGATCATGACCTCAGCTGAAGTCGGACGCTCAACCAATCGAGCCACCCGGGCGCCCCTAAATAAGGTACATTTAAACAGCAGAATAAAATGAATACAGAAAAGAAAAGATAGGAAGGAAGGAAAAGGAAAGAAAGAAAAAGAAAGCCCTCTATCTGCTGATACGGAAAATTTTCCAAGATATATGATTAAGTGAAAAAAACAAGTGCAGAATAGTGTATATAATAGGCTACTTTTAGGGGCACCTGGGTGGCTCAGCTTTTTGAGTCTGACTCTTGATCTTGGCTCAGGTCATGATCTCACAGCTCATGGGTTCGAGCCCTGCATTAGGCTCCATGCTGACAGCACAGAGCCTGCTTGGCATTCCCTCCCCGTCTCTCTCTGCCTCTCACCCACTTATACTCTCTCTCTCCCTCTCAAAATAAATAAATAAACCTAAAAAAAAAAATGCTACTCTTGTATAAAAGGTTGGGTGGGACAGGATTCATATTAATTAAATATTTAAAAATATATATATGTTATATATATATACACTCTGAAGGGACAGATGCATAAAAAACTAAGACCAGTGATATCTTTGGGGGGTCAGGGAACAGGAGACAAGGATGGAAAGGAGACTTTTGGCACTTTGGACCTTGAACCATGTGAATGCATAAACTATACCAAAAGTCACCTAAAATAAGGGGAAAATTGATATAGCTCATTAGGAATTTATATTCTTCCGGGGTGCCTGGGTGGCTTAGTCGGTTAAGCGTCCGACTTTCGCTTAGGTCATGATCTCGCAGTTCGTGGGTTCGAGCCCCGCGTCAGGCTCTGTGCTGACTGCCAGCTGAGAGCCTGGAGCCTGTTTCAAAGTCTGTCACTCCCTCTCTCTCTGACCCTCCCCTGCTCACGCTGTCTCTCTCTCTCTCCTAGAAATAAATAAAACATAAAAAAAAATTAAAAAAAAAAAAAGGAATTTATATTCTTCCATATAATTGAAGAATAAATTTGTTGAATTACTGAAAAACATCCAGCTGGAATCTTGACTAGGATGAAAGCCTTTGCTCTTCGCTACTCGCTGCTCCTTCCTCAGGTATCAGAAGTGCAATGAAAGATATGAGGGGACCGAAGCCGGGAGAAGACCCTGGTCAGGTGGGAACCAGGACTGGAAACCTCCCAGAATTCAGGAGAAAGTCACCAAGTGGTACAAAGCTATTGTTTTGCTTTTAAATGCCGGCCATTCAGGGAACCATCTATTCCACTCCTATATGTTTGCCTGTTTTATTAAGGAATTGCATCTCTGGGGAAGAAGAAAAGAGAAGTACTAAACAGAAGTCTTTAGAACATTCTGTCTTTAGGATACCTACCTGAAGTGGCGGATAAAACCTCATCACCCACCTGGCGGCAGGTTATCTTAACTGTGGCCGGGGGCGCCCGAGGAAAACTGCCTCGGTCCAGCTGAGTTTACAAATCCGGACCCAGAAAAGGCAGCCCGACATGCTTTGCAAGCTTGTTTGCTTTTTTTTTTTTTTTCTGAACATCAGTCCAGCTTCTTGTCCTGAAGGATCACAGCTTTCAAATTGGTAGCATCAAAATTTATGAGATTTCCCAGTAATGAGTCTCAGACTAAAATTATGGACCATCCACTAATTATAGACTATGGGAGTCACCTATAACCACTACTCGGGGCCAGGCCTCTGTGGGGAGGAGGGAGAGGAAGGTCACGGATGCAACGTGTGCCTGACCGTCCTTCCTTCCTGCTGCTACTGCCCTTCTCTCTGGGCTTGGGGGCCTCACAGCACCCAGTGCTTCCTGCCTCTGAGCTCTGACCCTGCCCCCGCCCCCACCGGGTCAAGCCAGGCCCTGCTTCTAAGGGCTCTGTAAGGCCAAATTCCTGGAAACTAGAAAATAGGGCCCACAGTGGAGGTGGGGGGCATGTTTTCCCCCTCAGTTCTGGGAAGCAGTGGGGGAGGGATGCCAGGAGAAGAAAAAGGTAGAAAAGGCAGACGAAATGCCCATTATACCCAAGCCCGGCAATTTCCTTTTCTCATCTCTTTATCAGTGTTTGTGACTGAGCTTCTTATCAACAGGAAACGCCTGCCTAAGGGGACAGGGCAGGTCCAGGGGGACTGGACGCCAGGGATTGGGAATTCTGGGTAACTCATTGCTGCTGTCCAGCCTGACCGAACGGCCTCCTGATTGCCAGGACCCAGTAAGGCTCTTGGCCTTGGCATCTGGTGGATCCTTCGGTCTACACAGTGAGACAGCACACCAGACAGGCCCCGAGGCCAAAGATCTGCAGGAGGGTGGCGCTCCACCTCTAGCCCTCTGTGACCAAGGACAAGTCACCAAACAGCTCAAGCTATGAAATAAGAATTGCCCTTGTCCCGAAACCCCACCAACCCGCCTCCTTTCTAGCCGAGGAGAGGCCAAATGACCTACCAAAGTCACAGACGACTTCATGACAATCGCCCCAACTGGCCCTTCTACTATGTTAGCCTTCAGCCCTCAGAGGACGGTGCCTGTGCTGGGCACCCAGGGCTGCGACAATTGGGCACATGGCACAGACTTCTAGATGAAGAGGGGCTCCAGCACTGGTTGACCTCCTACTACGTGCCAGGTGCTTTAAAAACACTGATCATCATACTAGGCTACTGGTTTCCCAGATGGGGCTCCCAGGAGAGGGCCAGACTGAGGGTCAAGTTTCACAGGACGCGAAGATCAAATCTTGGTGCTGAAAATAAACGCCCAAGAGGGATATGTGGGCCAAGCAAGGCTTTATGGGTGGCTCAGAGGAACAGGTTTATCCAGACGTCTTCAGACTGGCAGAAGCCTGAATCGAGGGTATGAGAACTGGCTGTTCCCCTGGTGAGGAGAGACAGGAAAGGTTTCTGCAGAGCACAGCGTGGGCCACCTTGCTTCGCATTCCTTGCCTGCTGGTTGCCCTTGCGCGGCCCCACTCTGCTTTGGGAGATTCCAGGGCGCCTCTTGCCCCGGACAACCCCACTCTTCCCCCTCACCTCGCCACTCGCTCCTGCAGTTGGGATCTAGGTCAGTAAGAGTGGGTGGGTGAGAAAGAACAGAGAAGAGACTCATCCAGACGTGACACCCCGCAGGGCAGCAGTGACAACACTTTAACCTGAGATCTGCCTGAAAATAGACTGTGTGTCTATGACATTATGCAAATTATATGCGAAGTCAAGAAGCCCTCTGTCTCTATTTCTAGCAAACTGACTGTGGCCCTGGTGTTAGCAGCTCCTGCCAAGAGTCGCCCACCTAGAGTGACGACTGCAGTTCGCATCAGTCCCCACCCTCGGAGACTGGACTAGGATATGCACCCCTCCGCTGCAGCCCCAGGGCTGGCTCTTTCACACACGAGGACTGCCGTGTCTCGGTCTGTTAATCTTGACGTGGGTGAGGGCTTGGAGAGAGCAGAGCACCCTCCTTGAAGGCGATGTGGGGTGGGCCGGAGGGAGATGGGTGACTGGGAGGAACAGAGAATTGTCCTTGAGGGCCTGGGTACCTCGAGGCCTTGGCAGGGGAAGGGTGGCCCTCAGCTTCAAAGCCCGTGCATTAGAGACCATCCTCACGCCCACCTGGGCACTTACAGACTCTCATCACCCCTAGGGAGGGTCCTTATTACACTGACGATCCTCTCCCTCTTCGCACAGGCAAGGAAATCAGAGTTTGGGGTCCCCCCAGGAAAATAGGGCAAAACTGCCAAGAAGTCAATGGATGATTTTCTTCCATGGGCAGGCAGGTTCCCTAGGCTCTACGTGGGACCTCCCAAGGGCATGGTGACCTCCCAAGGACTCTTCTACCCCTGGAGGGCAATGAGCCAATTCTCCTTAGTCCTACCGCAACCATATCCAACTGCAGTGTGGACATCAGGGTGCGGATGGAAGGACCGGGTCCAGAGGGCACAGAGGGAGGGGAGAGGCTGCCTTTGCGCGATGCCAGGAACGCTCCAATTTCCACAAAGCTGGTCTAAGAGGCCTTCTGGGGAGGAAGGAGGGCACAGTCTGGTGGGGGGAGCTCCATGGACACCAAGGCACCAAGCACGAGGCCGACTTGGGGGCCTCAGGGCATAGGGTCGGTCCTCTGAGACAGAATTAGGGTACCCTTTCTGTGGTTCCCTAACAGGGCCTCTGATACAAAGGCACAGATGTTCTGGGCTGGGAAGTCCGACGAGTCCCTTCCCTACTTCTTTCAGTACCTTTCTCTCACATGTCACGTCTTTGCCCGCAATGCCCCGGGGCTGGGGGTGGAGGGAGGTGTTTTCTAAGCCCAGGAGGCCAAGATGGGTCCCCGAGGAGAATGAACTCCTTTTACCATTCCAGGGATGAGGGCTGACTCCAGGCAAGGTGGGGGCCCTATTTGGGGAGGGAATTGAGAACAGAGAAAATCGAGGCAGACGGGTCCAAGCTGCCTCTGAGAGAAGACACAGTAAAGCTCCTTCCTAGGTTTTCAGGAGACAGTCCCTGGAGATCGAGACCTGGGGCAGCTCACGAACGTGAGCGCCGGAGGCCGTCCAGCCCAGGAAAGGGCCCTCGGGTCCGAGCGCAGGGGCGGGGCGGGGCGGGGCGGAGCGGACAGAGAGGGCGGCGGCCGCCTGGCAGCCCTCGGCCAGCAGAGGGCGGTGTGGCGGGAGCCTCGATCTGTCTGTTCAGGGACAGAACTGATATTTGGGCCTCGGACAGAGGTGGGGGCCAGGGGGTGTCCCTGCGCGAAATGTGACTTGTCCATGAGGGGCAAAGACCGGGCATGATACTCAGGACCCCGCTACTTCCCTGTCCCTTCTGGTCCCCTCTGAAGACGAGCCACTGCCCAGGCACCAGCTTAGCAAGACTCAGCAGGAGCTCGAGATTGGACCATGGTTTATTGAGGACCTACTGTGTGCTAAGCACAAGCTGAGTGCTCCCACAAGCAGTATCTCCAGGTAAGAGGCTGTAATTTGGGCCCTGGCACACCTTCCTGCACTCGGACAGAGGCACCAAGGCCTCCTTCCTTCCCAGGCCACCAGCCGTTCTCTTAGCGGCCCCTGTCACTCCACCTCCCGCCTCAGACCTTCCCTCCCTCGGGCATTTTCCAGCCTCTGGAGAGCTGCCTTTGGTTTCTGGCTTTGGAGTCTTCCAGAAGGAGCCTCTTTGCCCCCAAATCCAGCAGAGATAAAATCTGTCACAGAAAGGACTGAGTCCTGGGCTGAGTGGGTCCAATGACCAGAAAACACGAAGCTACCAGGAAGCAAACTGCCCTGTGATCATCTGGGAACATAACAGGTCCCTCTCACTTTCTGTTTTCACCCAGTTTCACTTCCTGCTTCTCCTCCCTTGCACAACTCGGGGAGCCAGGCCTGGGAAAATGCCAGGGTGCACGCAAGCCTCCCAGGAGTGGGGGGGGGGGAGGCGGGGGGGGAAGGGAGGCGGGGCGCTGGGTCATTTGCAGCAGGAGGGGAGGAGTCGGTGTTTCTGTCACCTCCTGTGGAGGATGGTGGGTCCTTCTGCACCCTGCACTAAGGGCTGAAAGGCCAGGTCTTCTGAGCTTGGGGCCATCCTTGTCCCTAGCGTGAGCCCCCTCCACCCCGCAAACCTCAGGCCTTACTTCCCATGCACCCGCCCAGGCTTTGGGGTCGTGTCTTCATTGCATGGACATACACCCTTGATGTTGCCAGATGCTGAACGTTCCGTGTGTTTCTCCACAGCCACCAGCTTCTACCTAGAGACACACTGTCTAGGGACCTGGCCAAGAGTGTGGGCCCGGGCCAGGGGCCAGTGGAGAGCAGCAACCTGGGTGCTGGAGGCTTGCTGGCTGGAGCCAAATTTCTTATGAGCCCTGGAGACCCTGTGGGAAGCCGGCCCTCAGCCCTTCTCGGTCCTGGACGGAGAAGACTGAGCCACAGAGTGGGATGAGTGGCTGGCTTGCCTGCCCCAAGGCCTGGGGTCGTCCGAGCCCAAGGATGGCCGCTGGTCTGAGTTAAGGCAGGAACTGGAGCTTGTAGAACAGTCTAGGAGGCCTTTCAGGCACCCCTGACGGCGGAAAAAAGTTTTTTCAAGTCCCCATCTGGGGACTTCGCCAGGGGCTGGGGCAAAAGAAGCAGAAGGGACCGATGAACTGAGATCTGCCACGGGCTGAAATTTCAGAGAAACGTCAGAGGACGTCAGGACTGTGGGACAGTGAAGGCCTCATTCGTGTCACGTAGACCAATTACCTAGGACCAGAAGCTGGGTCTCCTGACTCCCAGCTGTGCTTGGCTTCTCAAAGCCCGGGGCCTCCGCTGTCTGACCTGCTACCTCTCCACTGTCCTCTGATCCTGCCACACCTGCAGCAGGACTCCCAGGGTGTAGACCCTAATAAGTCAGCTAGGACGGGGGAGGGGGAGGGGCCGCGCCTCAGGCCCCAGCTCCCCAAGGCGGCTGGCGCTCAGCTGCTGGGGTCTCGTCCCGGAGACAGAGGCCCCCGGCCTCATAGAGCTGAGAGAAACCCATGCAAAGAAAATGACAGGCCCTGGGTGTCGGGCTTATGCCAGGGGCTGAGGCCTGGCAGGTAGGGAGTCTGCTGAAGACTGGACAAGGCCCCGTGTCACCCGGGCAGGTCCGGTGGGGGTTAACTGAGGGCAGGGGTAAAGTGCAGGCCTCGGCTCTGGGCCCCGGGCTGGGATTCCCTGGCCAGGCCACCCTGGCTCTGGGGCCTCGTTTGCATCCTGTCCTGGGGACTGTAGGGGCTGCGCCCCCGGGGCGTGAGGGTGGGGAGGGTGCCAGGCGTCAGGGAGCCTGCTGCTCTGAGCAGCCCAGACGGCGGGGGATCGGGTTTCAGCCCAGCTGTATTTTTGGCCAGATGAGCCGGCAGGCGGGCAGAGCAGCCCATAGAGGGGCACCCTCCTCCCCAGCACGCATACTCACACCACCCCTACCCAGATAGGGCACCGTCTGGCACCCACCCCACACGCTCTGCAGGCACCGGGGAGTCAGGCTTCAGGCCTGCGGCTAGTGAATCCCTTTGGGCTTCTCGAGACTGTTGCTGAGTTTCTGTAGTGTCTTCTTGATCCGCAGGGCCGTGAGGCGGGCAGAAGGGTTGGGGTACCAGCACTCCCTCATCATCTGAGCCAGGCCTGAGAGGACCTGTGGGAAGGGGGGGCAGGGACGGGGCAGGGAGAGGCAGAGGGGAGGAATCAGAGACAACGATCAGGGAAGAGGGAAAGGAGGTGGTGAGGAGGCGGCACCCGAATGGGGGGGGACATAAGTGACACAGAAAGAACCGGATGGGGGAGATGAGAGCATTGAGGAAGGGCAGAGGAAAGACAGAGGGGTAAGAAAGAGAATGGAGGGCAGGAGGAGAGGAGAAAGACGGAAAACGGAAGAGGAAGACAGCGGAGTGACGAGGGGTGAAAGGTGGCAGGCAGGACAGAGAGATGTAACTCAGCCCTTCAGGGCACTGGGGGCCCCCTGGGTGGTGAGGAGTGTCCGTGGAACACCTTACCCCGCCCCCCACCTCCGCCAAGATCAGAGGAACACATGATGTGCAAGTCTCAGAGCCCAGCAGCCGGACTCCAGCACGGAGGGCAGTGTCTCCCAGCACCTCCCCCCGCGCTGGCCGGAGTGTCCAGGAGGGACCCATCCCAGGAAGCTCAGTGGTCTGAGAGCGAACCAGCATCACCTCTGCCTCCGAACTCAAGCTGGTTCCTGCCAGGGGGTGTGTGTGCGTGTGCACAGTGCTGCGTATTTGTGGCTTTTTACAGATACACGTGCCGTGGAGAAACACGCGTGTCTGTACATACATGTGTATGCACGTATTCATTCCTGCAGTAAACATTTGGTGAGCATTGTGAGCCAGGCACTGTGACAGATAACCAGGATACAGGGCAGCGAAGGAGGCACGTTCTCTGTCTTCCCAGGGCCAGCAGTCTGGCATATATGTACATGCATATGTATCTGTGAGGCTATGTTTATGCAGAAGCATGTGCATGCCTGTGTGTTTACATACAAGTGTGTGTGCATCATACATGTATTGCAGTGTTTTGAGAAAAAGCAAAAACAAACAGTGACGACAAAAACTTCGTAGCAAGACCTGTGGCAGGGAGACTGCCTTTTCGGGTAAGACGGAAGGTTCTGAAAATCCAAGAGGACCTAAAACGTCAGGGTCCATGGGTCAGGGATGGGGGAGAGGGAACCCGGGGACAGACCCTGAAATCCATCTATCCAGACGAAGCAGAAACCTCAGGCGCAAGCTCCTGAGGCCAGAAACCCTAGCTGCGAGCCAACACCCTGTGCAAGCCCAGCCCCCAGAGGGCCTCACCGGGTCTGCGGCCAGCCGGTTGGGGATGGTGGGGGTTTGCTGATCGACACACACCACCTTCTTCATGTCTTCAAAGCTGGGGTCATTGGGCACCACATCATAGAAGGGTGGCCTGTAATCCTCCACGATGCCTGAGGATGGAGGGGGATGGGACAGTCACTCAGCTCCCCGAGAAGGCCCTGTACCACTGGGAGGAGAGCCCTGCCCACCTTCTGTCCCACAGTCCAGAAAACCCATTGTCGGACCCATTGCTACCCCCGAGAGGGACACTATGACATAATCAATATGCGCGCCAATAAAAATCATTCCTGCTGTTGCCATTTTGCACTTGACTTGTGCCAGGCATTGTGCTACAAACCCTTAAATGCTTCATCTTGTTAGTCTTTGGCACGACCCAATGAGATGGGTACTATGGGTGCCCCTGTTTTACAGATGAAGAAACTGAGGCTCGGAGATGTTGAGCCCCAGGTAACACAGCTAGGAAGGGCAGAGTCAAGACTTAAATGCACCTTGGGGCGCCTGGGCGGCTCAGTCAGTAAAGTGTCTGACTTGGGCTCGGGTCATGATCTCATGGGTTGTAAGTTCGAGTCCCGTATCAGGCTTCATGCAGATGGTGTGGAGCCTGCTTGAGATTCTCTACCCCTCTCTCTCTCTGCCCCTCCCCCACTCGTGCTAACCCTCTCTCTCAAAATAAATAAATAAACGATATAAAAATACCAAAAGAAGAAGAAGACTTAAACTTCTCTCTCATTGGATTGCTAGCCCAGATCTTATTTCAAGTCTTTCCGTGGCTGCCGGCTCCCCAGGGGCTCCCAAGCCTCAACCATCACAGGTGCCCAATAAAAAGGTTCCCTGGGCACGTTCCCTGTGCCAGGCACTGTCCTAACTGCACTGCATTAGATCCTCACAACAACCCTAGGAGTTTAAGTCATGCTATTAGCTCCACTTCATGAACCACGTAATTAAGGCCAGAGAGGTTAAGACACTTGTCTAAGGTCACACAGGTAGTGAGTGACAGAGCTAAGATTTAAGCCCAGGAAGTCTAACCAAAGCCTGTGCTCTTGACCTCCGAGCTCCACTTAAGAGAAAGGAGCTGGCCTGCCACAGGGCACAAGGAGAAAGGGATCTTCACCCAGCTCCAAATAACACCCACCCACTCTCAGCCAAGGCACTGGCCTCACTGACCCCTTAGTGGGCAGTACCACCTCCACTCGGTGTCCCTTCGGAGTAGCCTTCTGAAAGTGATGCCTGTGGAGCTGCAGACCGCACAGGCAGAAGAGGCCGGACCCAGACAAGGCGCCCCAACCCCCCCCCCCCCCCCCCCCCACACCGCTTCCCAGCCTCAGGCTAGGGGCCCTGGCCACACAGCAGCAACCTCAGGAGAGCCCGAGCCAGCTGCTCTCCCCGTGGCGGGTTTCCAGGCCGGCCCCTGCGCCACTCGGGCCCTAATCAGTGCTGCGCAGAGGCCTGAGCGTGTCTAATGGGTCTTTAATCAGTGCCGGGGCTGACACCAGATTACAGTGTTTATAATGCGCCACGAATCTGTGTGGGGCTGACAGAGCCTGTGGTCAGCCTTCCTTGCAGCCCGGGCCGGTCCAGCCTTCTCTTCCTGCCTGCAGCCTGGTCCAGGGGACCTCGGCTCCTTCCAGGTGCCCCCTTCCCCAAGGCCAGTCATCAGAGCCTACTCTGGGAGTGCACACCTGAAGGGGCAGGAATGTGAGCCCCTCCAGAGTCTCCCAGAGGGACTGGCTACGCTCTGGCCTGTACTAGTCGCTGCTGAGGGTAAAAGAAGCCTGGGACGGGGCTGGCTCCCAGCAGAAGTGAGAATGTCCCCGTCCCCAAGGAGCAGAGCTCCAGTCATATGCTGAGGTTGGCCCCAACCTGTCGGGACCTACCTCCAGCAATCCTTCCCCATAGACAGCTTCCATGTAGACTGACAGGCCTCCCCACCTGGTCCAGACCACTGCCCAGTATCCATCCATCCCAGGGCTGGAAGGGTACCAGCCACAGGGCTGCTCCAGACAGGGTGCGGTCCCTCCACCTGTTCCTGGCCCTCCCAAGGCGCCCCTAGTAATAAGGAGGCAGCGGTAAGCAGGCAGTGCAGGCACTATTATATCCTGCCGTTTTGTAGCAAAGAAACTAAGGACCAAAGAGGTTTTAAGTAGCACAGTGATAAAGAGCCTTGGCCCCAGAGTCAGATGGCCTGGTTTCAGAACCTGGTGCTACCTCTAGGCAGCTGCGATTCTGCACCTCGGCACCCTCATCTGTGAAACGGGGATGATACTATGTCAGGTATTCGTTATTACAATGAAATGCCACTAATATTTACTAAGCCCCAGAATACCGCCAGATACTGTCCTAGGATTATTTCAACTAGAAACTATTAAAAACAAATTTTTAATGTTTTATTTATCTTGAGAGAGAATGAGAGAGCACATGAGCAGGGGTGGGGGTTAGAGAAAGAGGATCCCAAGCTGAAAGCGCAGAGCCCGACTCGGGGCTTAAACTCCTGAACCGTGAGATCATGAACTGAGCCGAAATCAAAAGCTGGACGCTGAACTGACTGGGCCACCCTGGCGCCAGTACTAGAATCTATTTTTAATTCTCATTTTCGAAGGAAATTGAGGCACAGAGAGGTTACGTAACCTGCCCATGGTCATAATCAGGAACTGAACTTTGTCAGGCTGATTCCCAGCCCATGCTCGTAACCGCTAAGTGATACCACCTCCTGCCAATCACGATGATTAAATAATATAATCCGTGCATCGAGCATGGCACCTGGCACATATTTAAGCTCAATAAAAGTTAGCTGCTATGGATACTTCTGTTATCATCACTTATCCAAGATTTCACAGACAGACTCAGAGATTCGCAGAGTTACACCTTAAAAGGTCACTCGGTTGGGCCCTCAGGCCCTGGGCACGCAGCCACGGCAGGAAGCCCCTGTCTCCTGCCTGTCTGCCCATCTATCCATCTGCCCCACCCCTCTTTCTCCATGCTGTGCAGGGTGGGCCCTCACCATTGACAATGGTCCGACGGGCGATCTCCCACAGCACCAGGCCGAAGGCCCAGATGTCTGTCCACTTGTAGGACTCGAAGCAGTCGGTGCGGATCTGCTCTTCCAGCACCTCCGGGGCCATGTACCGCTTGGTGCCCACTCGTGGGTTGTTTCCGATGTCCAGGTAATCACTACCCTGGGAGTGCATCACAGCCAGGCCTGTGGGTACCAGGCCCGTCACTCCTGCCGCTTGCCGGAGCCCACAGAGTGGCCCCAGAGGCTGGGGGGCAGGGGGCGGGGTGGGGATGAAGAGAAACGGTGGGACACAGAGCAGCAGGCGAACGGAGGCTGGCCCTGCGGTGGGCTGGGAGACGGCAGCCACCGGGAGGGCCACGTGTCCCGGGTTTACTCTGCTTGTGTAGCACTCCTAGGCGCCCAAGGACCCAGACAGATGTGAGTAGGCAAGGCAGGTGTTATGCCCATTTCACAGAGCAGAACCCCAAGGCCGGGTGAGGGGAGCCATGCAGTCAGTGAAGCCAGGATGAGAACCCAGGGTCCCAGAGGCCTGCCCCTTTCTCCCGACTCCCGGAACCAGGGCCGTATGCCGGAAGGAGTCTGGGTTTGCAAAGCAAAACCCAGGCAGCTTGTGGGGGCTCTTGCGGAGGGGAAATAAGACAACTCACATGCTGGAAGGGATTAAAGCGCCCAACAGTAGCTGAGTCGTCGCACACTCGGGAACAGGCAAAGGCAGAGAACCTAGCCAGGGGGACAGTGCTCGAACCCCGTGCCCCACGATGGGCCCGCCCTCCCCGGGCGGCTCACCCAAGTCAGCAATGCAACACTGGAGGTTGCTCTTGACCAACACATTGCGGCTTTTGAGGTCTCGGTGGGCGATGGCTGGTTTGCCCTGCGTGCCGAAGATCTCCACGTGCAAGTGCGCCAGGCCGCAGGCGGCCGATACAGCCAGCCTCAGGGCCAGCTGGGGCTCCAGCGTCTGCCTCTGCAGAAAGTCGTAGAGCGACCCGTGCTCGTGGTAGTGTGTGATGAGCCACAGCTGCGTGCTTGAGTTGCGGGAAGTCATGTCCGAGGCGATAAAGCCTGTGGGGCAGAGGGTTGCAGGGCTCGGCCAAGGCGCTAGGGACAAGGGAGGCCGGACTGGTCGGGTCTGAGCAAAGCTGGGGCTGGGGTGGAGGCTGGTCTGGCTTAGGTCAGAGAGGAAGCTGGAGCCAGTGGTTAAGGCTGAGGGCGGACAGGAGTCCTTCGGGACTAGGTCTGTCATCTCGAGGCCTGGGGACTCCAGCCTGGAGCGTTCGGGGCTGAGAACCAGGGCCTGGCTTAGCATTCCTCACTTGCCTAGAATGTTGTCGTGTCTGAGCAGCACCGTATTATAGATCTCCGTCTCCCGGAACCAAGACTGTTCATCCCTTGAAGAGAAGATCTTGATGGCCACGCTCTCACCATGCCACAGGCCACGCCACACCTCACCGTAGCGGCCCTTCCCTGATCCAATGGCCAGAGGGGTGGGAGAGGATCACATACTGGGCACACGTAGCCCCCGGGCATGGGAATTCCCAGGAGAGCCCCTCCCCCCTCTTGATGCTGCATTGACCCCACCTGAAGAACCTCTAATGTGTATGTTGAACTTAATCTGGGCCCACCCCCATTTGCCTTGTTCCCCCAGCACCCACAGAAGGATCCAGCCCTGACCCATCTCCAAGCCACTCCCCGCCCAGCTGAACTCCCATTGGGACCCATGCCCGGTCCTGCCTGTGACTCAAAGGCCAAGAGCTCGCTCTCTCCTGCACATTCACGGGAACCCTTGGTCCCACGGCCCCGGCTCACCCACCACTCACCTACACACTCCACCAGTGCTACCTGCCGCGCCACTGTCCTCTGCACCAGGAAGGGCAGTCCTGAGCCACTGCCCGTGGTGCCGTCACTGTCCAGGAGATCCTGGGGGTACGGAGAGGCCGCTGAGAGGCTGCCCCCACCTGGCCCAGCCTGTTTCTCCCTCCTCAAGCTGGGCCCCGCTGCTGTGTCCCTACAGGCTCCTCCCTCACCCCGCCGCACCCCCCACCCCCTCTCAGAACTCTGAGTGTCTGTGACTGAGTCTTCCTCAGCTGTCACTCTGCACCCCTTCTGATTCTCTGGCTCCTGTCTACCCAACCCCGCACCGCTGGTCCCAGACGCCACCCACCCCAGGCCTGTACCCCCAGCATGCTGTCCCCCTGGTCCGACGTCTTCAGGATGAGGCTGGACTCGCCCAACTCGCTGTGCAGACCCCTCTGCTTCTCCCGTCTCCGCCGGCCATGCCACAGGCCCAGGGCAGCCAGGGCCACCAGGGCCACCAGGGCCAGCACAGGGCCCAGGATCAGAGGCAGCTGGCTGTCTACTTTCGGCTGTTCTGAAGGAGTCTGGGTGGCTGGTGGAAGGGGGGGAGACACTGAGGCCCGGCTTCCAGCAGGCCAGATCCCCCCTGACTTGGCCACTCTGCCAGGCAGATGCCAGGGTCCTTCCTCCCCTGCCCTTGTGGCCAGAGCAGGAGACAGAAGCAGGGCAGAGAGGATGGGGTCTAAGAAGACAGGGAGGGGTCGCTGGGGCGGCCGCACGTACCCTCAAGCGTCAGAGACACGTTGTGGTTGCACAGGGGGCTGTAGCAGCAGTAGTGGTTGACGAAGTCGGTGGGGCGCCCCCTGCACAGCTCCTCGTGCAGGCTCCCACAGCCCCGATGCTCCTGGGGCTGTCCGCCCTCCTCCCGCACCAGCACGACGATGCACCAGGCCCCCTGGCACGTGGGCGCCCTGCAGCTTGGGCTCTCACATGTGCAGGTCACCAGCGGGGCCCGGGAGGGCTTCACAGGGTTGCCTGCAGGACACACTGGAAGCTCAGCCACGCTGGGCCCAACTCCTAGGCAGAGCCTAACAGCCAAGCCTGTCCCACCGCCCGTCCCTTCTGATGTCTCAGACATACCCTCCGAGACCTTGGTCCTTCAGTCCCATCCTTAGGTTATCCTTCCCTCCAGACCTTATCCTCTGCCACCACGAGAACCAGGCTTCTGTCCCCTCCCTGATCCTAAGACCTTCCCTCCCAGTTCTAGGCCCAGCCCTGGCCCCCAGCCCCAACCCTGAGGGCTCTCCTAGGCCCTCCCTGCTAAGGTCCCCACCCCAGGGGTTCCCACCCTGGAGGCTGCTAGAGCAGGAGCCTGTGGGTTTGGATCTTGAGGACAGCAAAGGGCTGGGGAAGCTGGGCATTTAGTCTAACTGAGCCTGCCTCCCATTTGCCAGCCAAGCTCCTGAGTGCCTCCCTCTCCCCAGCTCCTCAAATTCAGCCCCAGCAAGGGGTGAACCTAGCCAGACCTTTCTCTATCCAGGCCCCTGGCCCCTACCTGCTTCCCTAGTACTTACCTTGGGTCAGGCCCAAGGCCATCAGTAGCATCAGAAAGCCTCTCCTGAGGGGGTCCAAGGTCATGGTCCCTGAAGAAGAGAGGGGGGTACAGTAAGATCTATGAAATGTGATCCCCGCGGTGTTTTAAGCCACGGACTGTGGGTCCCTCCCACCTAGAGGAAATCACTGGGAGTTTTGGGGGGGGCAGGGAGGCCTCCTCCCTACTCCCTGTGTCTGGCTTTGGGGCGGGGCCTGCAGGGGAAGTCCTGGTTCACTTCCCCATGGAAACCATCCTGTTAGGGGTAAAGGGTGGGGAGCCATATTTAAGTGACAGAGAACTTGGGGACTCCCAAGCTATTTACCCCTGCTCCTGAGCTCAGATGGGAGGGCACAGAGCCAGGGTGGAAGGAGAGTCTTTTTAGCAGACCCCCCACTCCTGTCCTCTGCCTCTCACCCACCCCCTCCCTGCCCACCCCTTTCCCAGTGCCCCCATCCCCCTAGCCCTGGCTGCCTCAAACATAAACAGGCTCCTGTCTTCACTTCCTGCCATTCAGGGTCCCGCCAAGCTGGGAACAGGAATCAAGATTGTTTAGATTGGGGTCTGGATAGAACAGGCAGGAGTCACGCACGGCAGAGAGGGAGCGCAGGGCGTCTTCTCAGGGCAGGCTGGGGTGGCTACGGGGTCTGGAGGGGCAGCCTGGGGCTGGGACACCCTGCGACAGAATTCTAGGGGGATGCCTTGTGACCCGCAAAACACAGCTCCTTGTTTTAGAGAAGATAGAGATTGGGCCTCAGACAGGGCGCGAGTCTTGTCCAAGGTCAGACAGGATTCAGGGGCAGCACCAGGAATACAACCCAGGTGTCCAGACTCCCCGTCCAGTGCTTTCCCCGCTCCGTCTCCCAATACAGGTGGCAGCCAGGGTCTGAGCCCTCAGGGCGGTAACAACCATACACACTTGGACAGCGCCGGCTCAGGCCAGGTATGAAGAGACCTCTGTACAATCTCACCAGAGCCTGAGATGTCCTCTCTGAGCCATTCCCTGGCCGCCCTCCTCCTCTCTCCCTGCTGTCCTGGGAAAGGGTGGGGGAAGGGCCAGTGATGTGGGAGGGGAAGTGAAACATACTTAGACACTGAGTGTTTGACCTTCCATGGCCAGTTAAGGTTGAACTTTTCCAGAAGTTTGGTAGAGAAGGTTAAGGAAGTAATTCTGATCGGGGCACCTGGGTGGCTCAGTCGGTTAAGCTTCTTGACTTCAGCTCAGGTCAAGATCTCGCGGGCCTGTGAGTTCAAGCCCCGCATGGGGCTCTGTGCTGACAGCCAGAGCCTGGAGCCTGTTTCAGATTCTGTGTCTCCCTCTCTCTCTGCCCGTCCCCCACTCACACTCTGTTTCTCCCTGTCAAAAACAAATAAATGTTTTTAAAAAAATTTTTTTAAAAAGGAAGTAATTCTGATCTGTGATAGTCCCCAACTCAGGTCCCAAGCCAGTTAGTGCTCCAGAAGCCACCCCCTTCTTCATTTCTCAAAGGCTAAGAACTAGAAGGAAGGCTGCTGCAGCAAGAAGGACGGGGGTCAGACAGCAAGGAGGACTTTCTGAGGGGCAGAGGGTGTGCAGGTGTGTGCCTGGGGATCCAGTCCCCAGGAGCAGTTACCACAAGGGCGGGGGCGTCTTCTGGGGGAGCACAGTGAGGCTGGCGGGGCTGGATGTGTGGCCACAGGGGCTGGAAGCCCCACTGCCTAAGAATGGTACCAAATCAAGATCCATGGTGCTGAGGCTCCGAGGACAGGATGGCTGGGGTTTGGCAAGGGGGGGGAGGGGGGGCCACTGTGGGGGGTGTTCATGGGCCTCCCCGGCGGGTGGCAGCTCTGGCTTTCCTGCCTGGGTTTCCTCTGCCCCAGAGGCCCAGGGCTGGGGGAGGAAACGAAGCCCTGGGCTGCTGCAGCTGTGTCCCCAGCCTCTGCCTGACCTCCTGCCTCCTGCCCCTCCCGCCAGGCAGCGAGGACTCTGGCAATGGGGCCAGTTCCTGGAGAAGGGCCCCCAGACAAGCTGAATTTGCCCACTGGGGCAGGGATGGGAAGCCATCTGTGGAAGCCTTTGCTTGCCCCGAAAGCAGCTAAGGACAAGGTATGGGGCGGGAAGGCAAGGGTGGATACATTCAGGATAAAATCTCCTCTACCCAAGCTCCCACTTCTCTGACTGTGCCCCAGAAAACCCTCTCACCTACTTTATCCAGCATCAGAAGCACTGGAAGCACTTCGTTAGAAATGCACACTCTCTAGTCAGTCCCTCCCACCTCCAAATTCTGATTCAGTCCATCCGGGACCAGCAAGCAACCTGCATTTTAAAAAGTCCTCCAGGTAATTCTGATCCCGTTTGTGTGGGTCCCGCCCCTAGAGAAATGTGTCCTACACGATGCTAAACCTGCGTTATAGTTTTTTACTTCACTGTGCAGGGCCCTGCTGGGTGAGTGGGAGCGGGGTGCAGAGGGCAGGGACTCTCACTCCCACCAGGGCACCCCCTCTCACTCCCCTCCACCAGCTAGAGAAGGGACAGGCTGGCGACACTTCAAAGCCAGAGACTTGGAAGTCACTGCAGATGGAGGGTGGGGTGAAGGCTTTGTTCTCAAGCCTCCGAGGGCGACAATGGTACAGAAGAAGCATTTGCAGAATCCACCCCTGGTCCTATCCTAGGAAGGTGGTGGGGTAAAATTGTGACTCTCTAGCTTTTTGTTGTTGTTGTTGTTTTTACCGCTGCTTTTTCTTGTAAATTTTTCTTTTCTTTTAGAGAGAGAGAGAGAGAGAGAGAGAGAGCACAAGCAGGGCAGAGGGGCAGAGGGAGAGAGGGAATCTCAAGCAGGCTCCACACTCAACGTGGAGCAGGAAGCGGGGCTCGATTCCACAACCCTGGGATCACAGCCTGAGCTGAAATCAAGAGTTGGAGGCTCAACTGACAGAGCCACCCTGTGACTCTCTAGCTTTTAAATGGGTCCAGCAGAAAACTAAGTACAGAGAGCACTGAGTTCTGACAAGTCCTAACTCAGAATGACCCTGAATGATTGCCCGGAGACCTGACTCTAGCAGACTCCTGGGGACTCGTAGGAACCCTTCACTTCTTCTTCTTCTTTTTTTTTTTTTTATTGTTAAGTTGGGGGAGGAGGGACAGAGAGAGAGGGAGACACAGAATCCAAAGCAGGCTCCAGGCTCTGAGCTGTCAGCACAGAGCCCAACACTGGACTCCAATGCACGAACCACATGGGGCTCGAACTCACAAACCATGAGATCATGACCCCAGCCAAAGTCCGACGCACAACCATCTAAGCCACCCAGGAGCCCCTCCCTTCACTTCTAAGCAAAACTTCCTGAAAGATCTCCTGCTGACAGAAGCATCACTGTTGTAGGCCAGAAATTGCAAATGCCAAGCTAATTCCCACCATTAACTCACCACTGTGAAACCTTTAATAAGAATTGATCTTCTCTGAGTACTACTAAGTACTCAACTTTGATGGTTAAGCTAATTGAACACTCACAACAATCCAGTGGGGAAACTGAGGTTCAGGGATGTTAAGTTTCTTGCTTTTCATCACCACGTGTGTCCTGATCGACTTAAATTGCTGGTGACAAATAAATCCCTACTTGGGCATTTTATTCCTACAATTGTTTGGTGTTCAGTGAGCCCCTCAAAGGAGGAAAAAGGAGCAAGCGGGGCCTGCGGACAGGAATAGAACGCTGTTGCTGTTACCACCGGGTGCCGGATGCGGGTTTGTTGAGATGTGCAGACAGAAATCCTCTGCTTGCTGTAGGCTTAGTTTTAAGTGGGAGAACCAGAGTAGGGGTGCGCTCAGAAGGTGGTTATCCATCTGTCTCTCATCAGCATAGGGGCAACTGTAACAGGCTGGAAGAGCCTCTCTCTGCGAGTTAACAGGTCTTTTACCCAAACAGCAGAGGGCTGGACTGAGCTACTCATACCAGGCTATGCCTTACCACACACACAAAACACTTTCCTCTGCATCATTTCGCTGGCCCTTCCCAGCAGTATGATGTAGCATCAAGCCCAGATTTTAGGGTCTTGGACAGAATGCACAGGCAGCACAGTATAGCACAAGGGTCAGGATCGTGCGGGCCTGGGTTCAAATCCTGCCCCTACCACCTAGAGCTATGAAATTTGGCGCAAGTTGCTTAAACTTTCTGAGGCTTCGGCTTCCCTACAAAAAAATGAAAATAACAATGGTGTTCACTTCATAGGTAGAATGTAGTAAAATCATTCAGCAGAGCACTAAAGTGGCACGCAGGGAGCACTTCGCCAATGTTACCAAGAACCCAACAGCACCGTTTACACCACCCACGGGGCTTTGGACAAGGTGACTCAGGTCTGAACCTCATCAGTTTTCATTAGGATGGGCGTAATAAACCTCTTCTGCTAAACCGTGGCCAGGATTCCATGAGAACAATATAGCTCAGTGTGCATCTAAGAGTACTCAGTACATGGTTATCTATTTCTGACCACCCCGTGAGATGAGAAGACTAGGATAAACGGGGCAGTGAGGGATAAGAAGACAGACCCGACTCAGCCAGAAGCTGCCCCTAATGGAGCCGGTGAGCGCTGTCCACTATGCCCCTGTCCTTCAAGGAGAAAAGGGGTGGGTGGGTGGCCAGCCCACAGATGTGCTTAACAGCACTGGCCTCCAGGGCAGACTGAAAGCCTGGGGTCCCAGACCACAGTGAGAAAGAAACACCGTCTGGCCTGGATCCCCAGGGAAGGCCACGGCCATGGGGATTATCTGACCTTGCAGGGTTGGAGGTGAGGTTTGTACGATGGAATCATCCTGAAGCAAGGACTGCAAAGGCTGGCCTGGGAAAGGTGGGCTTCAAAGGGGGGGTGGAGGTGGGGGTTGCTCTACAGGGTTGCAAGTAGGTACCCACTCCCAGGTCAAGGCGGCTGTCTGGAGGGAAAAGCGACCCCTTCCCTGTGAAGCAGAGGAGGAATCCTGCCCATTTTACAGATAGGGAGAGGAGAACAGGGAAGTTGAGTGGCTGGCCCAGGAGCCAGAAGTTTTCTGATTCCCAGCCCAGGTTTGGCCCAGCCCGCTCCAGGGTCGTGCGCAGATGTGCAGGGAAGGCGAGGGGCAGCTTGCCCTGGCGAGGAGCTGGGACTGACCCTACGGCGACCTCTGTGAGGCGTCTTCTGCGATCTGCCCCAAGAAGGGTCCGGTCGGGGTCGGGGTCGGGGTCGGGCCGCCCGCGGACCTGCACTCACCTCTGGACCCGCCCTGCGGGCGACAGGCCGCGCGCCTCCCCTCCCGGCGGCGGCCGTGGTAGCACGGCGAGCGCTGGACGGCGGGCCCGGGTCGTGCGCGGCCCCGCACAGCGCTGGGGCCCGGGCGGGGCTCGCTCGGCGCGGACGGCGCGGCGGCCTCCCGGGACTGGGAAAGGGGCTGGAGCAAAAATGTTTCTTATTCCAGCGTCTTCCTGCCTGGCCCGGCTCCACCACTCCCTCCTAATAAACCGTTTCCTATTGCCCAGCTAGCCGACGGGCCGCCCGCTCGCCCCTCGCTGGGGCTGCAGGACCTGGACCCTCCCCTGCGCGGCTCTCAGACCCCGAGGGCAGCCGCCCGCCTCGGCTGCCCCCAGCCCCGAGATCACCGCGGCGCCCCCGCCCCCAGCCTCCCACATCCGCCTCCCCGAGGGGGCGGGCCTTGGACTCGGGCCGCTGGGGGTCTCGCGGGGTGTCCAGGCCAGGAGCCGCGGGGGCCGGAGCCGAGGTGGGAGGCACGGTCTGAGGCCCGGCCCGGGAGAGGATGGACCGGGAGGCGCCCTCCCGCTCCGAGCCGCGGAGGGGGCGACGGGGAATCGGGACTGGAAGGGGGGCACCGAGGGAAGGACTGCGAGGAGAGGGGGGAAGGGGAGGTAACTTACCTGTCCCTCACCCACCCTCAGCCCCTAGCCCGAGGCCTCCTAGGCTCAGAGCAGCGAGGGCTGGGTTTGGGGCGGGCAGGGTCCGAAATGTTTTAGCCCCGCCCTCTCCACCCTCGACCCCCGCCCTCGAGGACTCCCGACTGGGTCCGAATCCCTCAGCCTCCTCCCTCTGGCCCCTTCACCCCCTCTTGTTCACTCCCCTCTTCGGCAGCCTCTCTCGGCTGAGCACGGGGTAAACAGGCCCAGCTCGGGCTGCTCTGGGTCAGTGGTGAGAGCAGTGAGGCCCTCCAGCCACGGCACAGCTCAGTGACAAGGACGCCTCTCCCCACAGTGCAAGGCCAGAATTGGAAGGAGAGGCTGGGAACTGCCTTCCCCCGCCTCCTTCCAGGCAGGCCTCTCACCCCACCGAATGGAGACAGGGACCGGAGCCTGTGTCGGAGCACTGATGGGACAAGGCAGACAAAGCCAAGAGAACAGAATAGCTTCTCCCCCAGAGAGAAGCTTGCTCTTGGTCCTGATTCCCTCGCATAGGCTCAGAGCACTGCTGTCATCGTCTTGCTTTGCACCAGCCATCCTGAGCACCCTGAAGGCAGGACTTCATTTCTAGCCTCCTAGTTATCCTCAAAGATCCTGCAGTCTGGGAATCCAGGCTAATTGAGTACCTCTAGACAAATGACACCTCTCCGTGCCTCACTCCCCCATCTGCTAACTGGGCACAATCAACAGTGCCAGCCTCGTAGCGTTGTTGTGAGAATGAGGACAAATGACGCTTAACTCAGTGCATAGCAAAAGATGCTGGCTGGCTGTGCCTGCTGCACGGTAGACCCCCGGTGACAGGTTCAGCTAAGAAATGAAAAGGCTGGGGACCTAGTAGCCTCGGAGCCAAGGTAGAAAGAGCAGTATTGGAAGCAGAAGCGGACCTCTAAGGTGTCGGCCTCTATGAAGACTGTGTAAAATGGGCCAGGGACACCCCCCCCCCCAGCCTTTGCTGGGTATAGAGGCTGGGGGAGACATTAGCTAAAGGCTCAGACAGACATCAGTTGTTGACTGACCTCACTTCCTCCACTGAAACCTTCCCCAGCCCCCGCCCCACAGCTGCCTCGCAACTTATGAGCATTGTGAATTGCAGAACCAAGGCACACCCAAATTTCAGTGTCAGGACAGAGCTGTGTCCTGCAGCCAATAGGAAGTACTATGGGATTACGGTATCTGCTCTTTCAGATTATAGTGGCCACTTCGGAGTGTAGCCTCGTGTCCATCTTTCATACCCACTCCTCCCCCCACCCCCTGCCCTGCTCTGGCTTCGGATAAACCTCTCCCAATCCCAGCCCATGGATCTCTGTCCTGGGGGGTGGAAGTGGGGGATTCCCTAAGGGAAGCATTCAGTCTGAGACACTCAGTGCGGACTGCAACAGTGAGATGGCCGGGTCGCTGGCGAGAGCCGCTGGGGACAGGGGACTTTATCCAGGAAGGGGTCGGGTTTGGAGGAGGAAGACAGCATCCAGTGGGGACAGGCTGTCAGTCTATGCTAGAGTCCACCACCCCCGCCAGATCACTGAGCCCTCAGACCCTGACTGGTGCTCTTGTGAACCCATGCATTGCACGGCACACGGAGAACCTGGGGAAGGCATTGGAGGAGGGACACAGAGTTGGAGAAAGCCCTGGAGACACGGCCCAATGAGGAAAGGGAAAAGGAATTACAAACTGTGTCCAAGTTTACAAAATTAATTACTCAGAAGGACCAGCTGTTCCCCATACTCGGTGAGGACAGAACAAGAGGAAACAGGCTGAAAGGGCTAAGATCTGAATTTAGCTGTTTGGGAGGATTTCCCAACAGTGTGTGAAGCAGAGGCCTGGAGATCCTAGGAGGGGTACGTGGGGTGAATTTCAAGGACATTCTCACCTGTGGCAGGCAGGTGACATGGAGTCCGGCAGGCAGGCAGGGGATCAGACAGCCTGTGCTTTCAGAACCATCTGCGAGTATTGAGTTCAAGTATTGCTCTTGACCTTGACGGCAGGACCGACTTCACGGCTATTCAACCTGTGCAGATACACAGGACCCCACACTTGGCTTAATGCTCTGCTTTGCCATCTTGAAATTCTTAGTAATGTTTGAACAAAGGGCCTGGCATTTTCATTTTGCACTGGGCCCCACAAAAGATGTAGGGGGTTCTGCACTGGGATGAGTAGGAAGAAAAAGCAAGGGGTGGGGGGGAGGAGGCGGGGAGGGTGGAATTAGCAGAGGGTGAGCTGGGCTTTGTTTCATTCAAATTGCAGTGAGGAGAGTGAGATCGGCCAACCTAGGGATTTTTCTCATATAAGAGACATGGAAGCAATAGAACGGGGTTTCACTACCTGAGGAAGAAGACCTGTGGATCTCCTTTAGGGGAGAAGTGGGGCAGATAACCTGTGATGTCTGTTTGTCCATCTATTCAACAGAGAAGAGAGTCTGAGCTTTGTGGGCTGGATGCAGCCCGAGTTTTGCCTGGAGGGGGAGGGAAAAGTGATCTCTCTATGTCTCGTTCTGCTCTGAGCCAAAGGACCACGTTATCCTAAAGATATCAGTAAGCCAGGAGTCTTCTCTGGGCCTCAGTTTCCTCCTCTGTACACTGAGGGGTTTAAACCGGATACTTCCAAAGGTCCTGCCCAGTTATAATTATATTGTTTGGCTCTAGGATTCAGAAAATGGTCTGGTCTCAGGCCCCGTCATTACAGCTCAGGTAAAAAACAGAGCTTGGCTGGTGCTGAGGTTGGGGGAGGGGAGGGCGTCCAGAGCTCACCCAGCACCTCAGGAAGAGGCTGGCAGGGGGTCGGGGGAGGCCAGATTGCCAGACTTGGAGGGATGGAGTCACCTTCCTCTTCCTCCACAGCTCCTCCAGGATGTCCCGTGGATGGGTCCATCCGCTCCTTGCCTGCGAACCGTCAGGATGACTCATCTCAGGATGGAACCTCGTAAGGAAGGGATGGCATGTCGGGGCAGCAGTCTGGGATCAGGCAATGCCCACACAATGCCAAGGGCGAGCTGTCATGCAGCCTGGGCTCTGCTGAGAGGCTGCTCCAGCACCACCTCCTTCTCGGCAGGCCAGCAACCTCTGGATTGCCCCTTCCCACATGGATCCCCAGTGCTCTGACCCCTCCACCAAAGAGGTCTCACCATGAGGGGGGAAAGGAGTCCAAGGCTTGAACTTGGAGCTGCGTGTGTGCTGACTGTTCCTTCTCTACCACATTCTCCGCATAAAAGCAAACACTCTGTGAGAGTCCCCTACCAGCTCCAAAACCCACACAGATGTCCGGTTGTGTGAGAGAGGCAGGCCGAGCGGGGCATAGGAGAAAGAGCATGAACTGGGAGTCAGGGGATCAGAGGCTTGGCTGTGCAACAGGGGCCTCTGTTTCCTTACCTGTTCAAAGATGAGTAGGACGTGTTGCCTCGATAGGTCCCCGAGGGCTTGTTATCCAGATGAATGTATAGCCACTGCAGAGGACTTTGAAGTATGAGGCCACCATTCTGAAAATCATTCAAAAACATCCCAGATAAGCATGGGGTGAAATTGATGAGATCCGGAAGAGGGACTTTATAACGAGAAGCAACTGTGTCCACCCTGGGCCCTCTTGCTGGGGCCAACCCCCTTCCCAGAGTCTCAGCTATTCCCTTCTCTGATGTTTATACTTTGGTAACTCAAAATAATACATTCACACTTCGGTCTCTCCATCTTTTCTCAACTTTATTGAGGTATAATTGACAAATCAAATCGTAAGTTATTTAAAGTGTATATCGTAATGATTTGATATACGTATACATTGTGCAAGGATGCTTCCCATCAAAATAACACATCAGGGGGCGCCTGGGTGGCTCAGTCAGTTAAGGGACCGACTTTGGTGGCTCAGCTCATGATCTCGCTGTTTGTGGTTTGGAGCCCCGCATCTGGCTCTCCACTCGCAGCATGGCGCCCACTTCAGATCCTCTCTCCCCCTCTCTCCATCCCTCCTCTGCTCGCATGTGCTCTCTAGCTCTCTCTTAAAAATAAATAAACATTTAAAAAATAATAACACACCCATTACCCCCTCATATTTATCTTCTGTTGTTGTTTTTGCTGTGAAGTTCTTTGGTGAATAGAACTTAAGTTCCACACTCTCTGCTAATTTCAGTTATACAATACAGTATCATCAACTATCATCATCACATTGTACGTGAGATCCTCAGATCTTATTTATCTTCTAGCTTGTTGTACCCTTTTACCAACCTCTCCCCATTTCTCCCTCCCCGCATCTCCGGCAACCACCTTTCTACCTTCTGTTTCTATGAGTTTGTCTTTGGTTTTGGATTTCACACATATGTGACACCGTGCAGTATTTGTCTTTCTTCTGTCTCTAAATTTAAAAGCGTCTGGGTTTGTTTGTTTGTTTAAGTTTTTATTTTTAAGTAATCTCTACACCCAATGTGGGACTTGAACTTACAACCCTGAGATCAAGAGTCACACGCTCTACCGATGGAGCCAGCCGGACCTTATTTTACAGCTTCAGAATTGAGGG